ACTTATCCAAACACTCCCACCATCAGGATGTACTTATGTAGACACCTGGTTATATTTGTCTGAACACTAACTTATTCTATGTTCCTGGGTTATCGATGAAAGATTTTCAGATGTTAAAACTACCACTGCAACTTGTTCAATTGTAGGTGCATTCCTGGTGGTTATTGGCTGGAGGGCACTGACATGATAAATAGGTACAGTAGTTCCCCTTATCAGGTAAGGATACATTCATTCCTTCCAAGGAACTGCGTGAAACCATGAATAGTACTGAAACCTATGTATGTACTGTTTTTCCTATACACATCTATGGTGAATTTTAACCAGTCACAGTAAGAGATTGGCAATAAAATAGAACAATTCTAACAATATGTGATAATAAAAGTTGTAAATGTGGTCTCTTGTTCTCTCTCAAAAAGGGTTACTTAAACATAAGTACTGCGATAATGTTCTAATAACCAAAATGGTGACTAAGTTGACTAAAGGGCTAACTTACACAGCCTATACACACTGGACAATGAGATGACTCACATCCAGACTGGATGGAGAAGGATGGTACAATATTTCCTCACACTATTCAGAAGGGTATAAAATTTAAAACTTAGGAATTATTTATTTCTGGAATTTTCCACTTAATATTTCTGTACTATATTTGACGGAAGGTAACTAAAAATGTGGAAAGTGAAACCATAAGTAGGAGGAGTGATTATATCACTATCTTTACTTTATGGCTAGGGAAACTGGTGGTGTTAAGTAAGTGACTTGCTCAGAGTCACATTATCTATTAAGTGGGAAAAACTGGTAACTTTTAATCATAATATTATATTGCTTTTCCATATAGCATATGCTGAAATTCTACCATTATTCTAGCTTCCCACCTCAACAAATTTATCATTTATTGCTATTAAGAAAAGTCAGGGCTGGGGTTGTAGCTCAGTGGTTGAGCACTTGCCTCAAATGTGAGAGGCACTGGGTTCGATTCTCAGCACCATGTAAACAAATAAATAAATAAAATGAAGATACTGTGTCCACCTACAAGTGAAAAAATATATAAAAAAAGAAAATTCAAATTATTTTTAATACGTTAACTGACCACCCTAATACAATCATTTAATTTTAATTTTTATAGAACCATGGACTGAATCCAGGGCCTTGTGCATCCTAGACAAGTGCACTATCACTGAGATATTCCCCCAGTCCCAACCACTTTATTGTTAATGGCAGAGACATTTATTTATTTAGGTACTGGGGAATGAAATCCCTCTACCACTGAGCTACATTTCTAGTCTTTTTTATTTTTACTTTGTGACAGGTTCACACTAAGTTGCTGAGGGTCTTATTAAACTCCTGAGGCTAACTTGGAACTTGTAATCCTCCTGCCTTAGCCTCCTGAGTCACTAGGATTATAGGCATATGCCAATGTGGCTGGCTGGCAGAGATTTTTAGAGTATAAAATTCCTTTGTTAACACAGTAAAGTGCAGACTATCTAGAATTATAGTTTAAAATAAATCATTAAGTCATTCATAAAATGAAGCCCTTTCACTTACATTTTTTTTTCTTAAACTGTATAAAAATAGCCTTATCTTTCTGAGTAACAAGACCCCACCTACACTTACTACTCACATCCCTTTTTTCCCCTTTAAATTTGCTGTATTTATTGCTTCTATTTGCCCTAAGTTGAAGGTGTTAGATTTTACAATGTGGGCTACTGGAAAAAAGGGAAAACTTAACAGGTAAAATTCGACTTGGATTATTTACATAGGTAATCAAATTATTATTATTTTATAATTTCAGGATGAACATATTAAACATCAAAATGGCAAGCCATTTCCTGAATATCTTTTTAAAATGAATTAGTAAATAAATTACTTATACAACTATTCTTATGAAATATAGAAAATAAAGTACTATGTACATCTCCCTTTTCTTCCTCCCAAATTTGTTGACTGCCCACAATACCCCAGGAATTTACTTTTTTTCCTGTGTGGCTTTGTTTTGCATAAATTTGCAGTTAAGATAGGTTTGCTGAGAGTCATTAGTACACTTCTATGGGTAGGAAAAAACCCCATTTAGATGATTTGATTACATTATTTTCAGAGCAATTATTACTATGTTCCAATTATAATAGGATTCACAATTATAATAATTCTACTTATGTAACTCCAAGTTTTACTCTACTAGTAATGTCCATAACTTCCATATATAATCATACAGGCAAAATATGAACATATTAGATATACATGAGAGTGGTAAACATGACTACTTCATTTATTAGCATGACATTTAAGTTAGATTAATATTTTGGTTCCCAAATCCTCAGATTAATGACTAAAATAGTAATTATTCATTAAGCAGTTCATAATTCAGAAGGTACAAACATGTTTTCAAGATTAGAGACTATGGTAATTTAGCAAAAACTTGGTCATATTAACAAGCAATGATCTCCTGCCATTAAATATTTTATTGGATGTGTGTTCACTAAAATTCTTCAAAAGTATCTTGTCCCAAATCAGGAATATAAACTTTAAGTATTGTGGGGGAAACTGCCCCCACAAAAGATACACTGAGGTCTAATCCCCTCTTACCTATGAAGGAAATCTTATTTGTAAATGGGTGTCTCTGCAGATGTAATCAAGTTAAGATGAGCTCATATATGATTAGGGTGGGCCCTATATCCAGTGACTGATGTCTTTTAAAAGGAGAGAGATTTAGAGACAAAGGTAGAGGCACAGACACACTGGAGGTAGAAATTGTAGTCATGTACCTATAATATAAGAAATGTTGGCAACTACCAGAGCCAGAGGAGGCAGGAAGGATTCTCTCCCCTATAAACCATTAGACTTTTGGCCTCAACTGTAAGAAAATGCATTTCTATTGTTTAACCATCCAGTTTGTGGTACTTTGTTGTAGTAGCCCTAAGAAACTCATTTAATGGATAAAAACATAAGAAATTAACAAAGTTAATATGATCTTTCTGGTTCTTCCATATTTTGGAAAGACCATCTTTATTATTCACTTGACTTTTTAAATCCCTCTTGTTTGAAACCTGGATATAGATATTTCTCAAGGATCAGTCCTTTGGTCTTGGCTCTTACATATTTTCCTACTGAGACTGAATTTGCCACTGCTAAATTTTAAAAGAGAAAAGTCCCAAATATGTAATATTACCAATCCTGCCATTTCAACTGCTTTTGGCATGATATTGCTTAGTCATAATCCAAGTACAATTTACATAGAACTAACCTTGCTGATTACTCTTAAAACTAGGTCCTACTTCCATTGATTTTCATATTGTATTTATTGCATTTAATAGATGCTATAACTATATAATTACCATTATTATTTGTACCACTAAGAAAGGAAAAAGGAACTGTGAAAGATGATCACCTGTAACACATATATGGATTCATAGTAAGTTATAAAAAAATTGTGACTTAGAATCGATGACTATAAAAAAATGTTATTACTATTTTGTCCCAAGTACTTTGACTCTTTTCCATTCCTTCAGTGTATCTATTCAATATTACCAAGTAGCATAGATTTTTTTCCTTTACAAAGTCTAGTAATATCCATTTTCTTTAGGGTTTTACTCTTCATCACACCAACTGGTTTTTGAGCCTCTCTCCACATAGTCAAACTCCTATATGACAATACTAATTTTCCTAAAATATGTGTATATGTGTTTTATTTTCTATTTAAGGTATACTACCTACTACTACAAGGATAAAATCCAAGCTTACTTGGCTTACAATATCCATTCTGCTCTGATTTTGTTCTGGACAATTATATACACAACCAATAATCATTATTTTCCCAGGTTCTTTTGCAACTAGGAAAGATCACGACACAGAATGGCATTAGATTGTGTGTTCTGGCTTTTTTTCCTTCAATGCTGAGAATTAAACCCAGGGCCTTGTGTACCTTAGGCAAGGGCTCTACAACCAAGTTACATATTAGTTTGTGGTATTAGTTTTTAAGGGATTTCTGGGAATATTTGTGCTTTCCTGATAAAAACACTGCCCCATTTTAGAATGCAAAGATAAAGATGAAGTGAGCATCTTATAATCAAAAACAGCAAACATATAGATGAAACTGATAACTAATGATACTAGATTATAAATACACAAGGGGCTTAGGTCCATCATACTAGTCTTGGACTTACCATTTGTGAACATGTTATATGATTAAAAAAAAAAAAAAATCCTGGTTGTTAAAGCAACTGCAGAGGCATTCTGTTGTATTGGAGTAGAAAGCAATCCTAATTGAAACAAGTATCCAAGGCTAAGGCTCTTCACAACCTGCTCCTTTGTGTCTGGTTTCCCATTTGTTCCCCATACTTTCAGGTATCCATACTTTATTCATATCACTCTGCACTGAATTCACTGCTTACCAAATATGCTATGTTCTTCCATGCCTCTATACTTTCCTACAGGTTTTGTGCTTTTATGCATCTTCATTGAAGTGTCATTCCTTAGCCTGCTCCAACTCCTACTTGTTTAAGACCCAGCTTAAATATATGTTAACTTGTTCTTTCCCTTGTTGCAACCATACATGCTCATACCTTTAGTTTCTAGGTTTAACAGTTCATTGTAATCAATTATTTATATAACTGCTTCATCAATTAGACTATTAATTCCTTTGTGGTATGAACTATGTCTTCATGCATCATCAATGTTTATCATATAAGTTCTCAATAAATATTTTAATAAAGAATAAAACACTAACTGGATTTTTAAAAGCTGTTTTCTTTTACACTGAAAGTAATTCACAATTTGTATCTCTGGCTTTGTGCCATCATGTACTGTCAACATTTTTTCCCCCCTTCCCTGATGTGTAACTTGTAAAAAGGAAACTGTAGTGCTAATAACATCTTTAAAAATCCAGTTATGTTTTACTCTTCTTTATATTTCATGTAGGACTGAACACAAAATTTTTAATCTACTAAGAACTTAAAAATGTTTAATTGACTGTAGCATTATGAAAAACATAGAAGGTATTATACCTATAGAGGAAGACTGTGGACTAATCAGAAGGTCCTCTTGGACTTGTTCACTTCCTGGCACTGTTTGCTGATCACTCAGTGAACTCTGAGATGCACTGACAGGCTGAGACACTTCTTCATGGACCTCCTCATCACTTAACCTTTCTACTTTGACCCGGACATCTTCTTCGGTACCCAGAGGAAGGGTAGCTTTTGTGCTCTCACAAGTCACATAGTCAGCCATTCTTCTACCTGCCTCAGATGGGCCAGGTAACTCTAAAGTCCGGGTATTTTCTGCTTGCTTAGCCTTTTCAGGTTGAATCCTTCGATCAATTCCAAAAGGAAAAGTCCAGGGAAAAGCTAATGAAGAGTCAACTGGTTGATTTCTATTTTCTGTGTAGGAAGCTGAAGAGTTTAATACTTGGGGTGAACTTGTTTGTGTGCTACACTTTACAGGACTCTCAGGAGACATAACAATGTAACTTTTGCGTTTTCTCCGGGACTCTCGGCAGACAGGAATGGTTCTTTCCACCACACTGCATTCTGAAGACACTGGGGAAATGCTTCCATCTCGAGTAGTAAAATTGCAGGTAGAATTACTTTCTTGTCCAGCATCTAGACCCTTTTCTGGCTGGCTATTGGGTGTATTCCATAAAATACTTGATTTCATGAACTCTGAGCAGGTGCTAGCAACACTAAACATTTGCATATAGCTGGCTGCAGCTAGAACATCAATAATATTTTCTGTGTTAATTGAAAGAGTAGCTGTGTAAGCATATTCTAAAAGGGGTATAAAGCCAGTCACTGTAACATGATGCAGATCCAACACATTCTTGTTCTCATCCTCTGCTTGGCCTACAAGTTTGGTGCGAAAGAAATCACTGCAAGCTGCTAGTACCACCTTATGTGCCCGGAAGATTTTGTCCTGGACACGAATAGTGATATCACAAAAATGTCCATCATTTCGCAGCATGTTTAGTTTTCCAAGCATTTCCTGGCTGTGGGAAGAGGAGCTATGAGTAAATGTTTTCACACCCATCTTTTCCTTCCTCTTCTACAGATGCTCTTCAAGGATGCAAATGAATCACAAATGTCCTAAAAAATACATAAAATAAAATATTAAATGATGGTTTAGTAGCTAAAATAGGCAATTTATACCATTTTCAGGTGGCCACTGTGCCAAGTAAAAGACAAAAAGATGCTAGTGAGAGAGAAACTTAAGGTACACAATGTATTAAAATGTGTTCTCCAAACTCTTCAATCAGGGAAGCATTTCAAATACTGTTTAAATAAGCTCCAGAGTTTTAAATGATATTTGTAAATATTGATATTTAGAATAGTGCCTGGCTTTTTATGCCAGACACTATTCTAAATATTTCACATTTGATAAGTTATTGAACATCAAGAGATCTCTGTCAATGGGTATAGTATCATCCCTGTTTCTAAACGTAAACATGCAGTAGGTAATGCCAGTTCAAACATTAAATAATCCATCCTACATAATCATTTCTTTGAATATTCTACTTAGATAAACATATAGGGGAAAAGAAAGGAGGAGGAAAGGAAAATAAAGGGGGGAAAAGATTAAAAAAAGATTCCAAGATAATAACAAGAAGCCAAAATGATCAATTTGGGATTGTTCCCTGTTTGATATGATAAAAAGGATAAAAGGCATAAATCCTTTTGATTGATAGAGAAGGCCATTGTAATAATCATCTTGGACCATAATTTTGAAAATAGTTCAAACATAAACCTGCTCCAGGAACACTTATCTCTATTTTATGGATTGAAGGGTTGCCTGATTCAAGAATGGAAAATAAGCCAATTAAGGTTGTTAAAATAAAAACATTAATAAAACTGTTTTACATGTTGTCACAATGAGACATTATGCAGCTAAGACAGGTCTAAACAGACCATCATTTAATATATTTGCTATTTCCTCTCATAGAAACAAGATGAAGAGGTAAAAAATGGGAAGGCTATATAGAAAGTGTTTCATTCATTTGCTATATCCTAGGAAACTGGCTTCTGCTTTTAAAGCTGTGCCATCAAGATTGCTTACTTTGATTGGGATCATGTGGTTGAGGGAGGAAACATGCCTTCAGAACAAGTGACAGTCATAATCCAGGGACCATCTGCATGAATAAAGGTATAAAGTCAAGAAATTAAACAGCATATTTGGAAAATGTACAGTGGGGTATTAAAATGAAACCACTTCAATCTTGGTTTGGTTGGAGGCCCCCAAAATGTACCACATTTAAGTAAGGTGTGAGGGCACATATGCAAAGAGGTGGAAAACTTTTCTAAAATGGTGCTTCTTTCATCTTCTGTGATCTAAAAGTTGAAGATCAGAAGAGGAATTTTGCTGAGAGTAATCGGTGTGTCATGAATTACAAACTCCCTGCTACTCTCCTGGCATGTCTGTCCTTTGTCTCAAGTGAATGGAAATTGTATCACACTTTAAAAGATTCTTTGGCATGAGTCTGACTTAAACATGGTCAGGACTATGAAGTTTGCTTACTATTTTTCATAGTATATAAAGCCATATAGTGGAGTGTCTTAAGTGCACAGAATCTAGTGCACAGAATTTAGTGTACACAATGCTGGGTTGTCATTTGTGACAACTGTCACAGTTGGTTCAGCTGTGTGAACTTATTAAGTAAGTCACTAAATTCGCTGTACCTAATTACTTAAGCAGTAAAACAGGCAAAATAGAACACAGGCCACACTTCTGAGGATCAATGACCTAATACATATTTAGTGTTTTGAACAGTAACTAACATAATCAATGGTACAAAAATATCAGTAACTGTTATTGCTGCTGCTACTACCATCACAGACCTTTTCTTCTTCCTCAGCCTATCCTAATCCAGGAAGGGCCAAAACCATAGTCAGCAAATGTAGAGGAGTGTAAGAGGGCTCAGTGTGAGAACACAGAAACAGGAAACAAATCAAACCCTACATTTCCACTGCAGGCCTACAGTAAGCCTGAGGTAAGAAAGGACAGTTGATTTTTAACTTTGAATTCAGTTTATTAGTTCTTGAAAAGATTGTTTTTATTTCCTGAAAGTGACTAGAAAAGTTACTAAGACTTGTTCTCCAGGGAGTTGGAAAGAGAACACTACAAAATGAATTTAAATGGCCAGAAGACAAAAATGAAAATGGGTTGAGTACCTCTGCTAAGTCTGTCTTGTCTAAATGTGGTACCAAAGTCTAATTCAGCTGGAGTTATGGGATGAGAAGACGAATAATACACTGGGAAATGCCTTCTAAGTTATATATTTATTACATGCATTTTGTAATATGTGTCTATAGAAACTCTGATGTACTATGTAATAAAAAATTCACAAATACATTTTGGATGTACACTGAGGCAAAGGCTTGGAAAGAGATGAAATTAAGAGTATTTGAAAAGAATCATACCTAACATGGAAAATTCAAATGCCAGGAAGTATACCTGAAACTTCTATGAATTAGATAATTCTGTTTAAGAAAACATCTGATTTCTCTCCATTCCATATGTGTAGATGAATATGTATGTATGTAGTTACATATTTAATATGGAACATATTTAAACTTCTTGAACAAACTATTAATTACTGATAAACAATTTAAGTAGCTTTCACAAGTAATAAAAATGTGTCTGTATTAACAGTTTGCAATGTGAACTATTCAGTAATTCAGAAATATTTTCCTTCCTACCCTTTTATTTTAAATAACTGATGGAATACTATATACACATGTTTATGAAAGCAGTAGTTGCTAAAGGACATAAACTTTAAGGTGGAAAAATTAATTTTATCTCAAAGCTGGGTAAAGTTTTTGCAAAGGAAAGCATATAGCTTCGTTGATAAAACAGTGATTTTAAGTTAGTCAAATCTTAGGTTTTGAATTTTAATTTCTCCACTTACCAGTCAGGCATTAAATCTTAGTGAAGTTATTTTGTCTCTAATGCTTCAGTTCTGTCATCCGAAAAATAGAAATCATGAAAATTATACTTCCAAAATAATAAAGAGGGTTAAAGTAGCATAATTCCTGGCATAAAGTAAGCATTCAATAAATATTGGCTGTTTATTTACAATAGAAAAAGCATGAATAAAAATTAAATGTAGGGGCTGGGCATATAGCTCAGTGGTACACTACTTGCATAGCTGGCTCAAAATTCTGGATTCATCCCCAGTACTGCAAAAACAAAACAAAACAACAAAACAAAATTAAACAGAGTTCAAATTTCAGATGTCTATTCTATTTCTTTTTTTTATATAATTTTTTTGAGAGAGAGAGAGAGAATTTTTTTAATATTTATTTATTTTTTTTAGTTTTTGGCGGACACAACATCTTTGTTTGTATGTGTTGCTGAGGATCTAACCCGGGCCGCACGCGTGCCAGCTTGAGCCACATCCCCAGCCCTACTCTATTTCTTATATGATGGGGCATATTTTGAATATGTATATTTTTCATAAAAATTAGGTAATAAAAATGATCAGAAGATTTGAGATTAAATTGGAGTACCTCAGCATATAAAGTGAGGTGAGTACATAAGATGATGGCTAAAGAGAATGCAATGAAAGACAGTTAACAGTGAAAATAATTTGAGAGGATGGGAAAAGCTGATATTAATGATAAGAATTTGCCTGTTTAAATATTCAGTTACACTTCAAAACTGGGATGCTAACTTTTAAGATACTAAGAAGTTTTCACTTATGTTAAAACAGAACAGAGATCACTTCATTTGCACCCTATATTCTGATTAAAGAAAGAACACAAAAGAAGGTTAAGGAGAGAGATAAAATAGGTTTTGGAAATTTACATATGAAATTATCTGTACTGGTTGTTAAGATATGCTATCTCACATGAAGTTAGATGATAATGACATGACTTTTATAGATGAAGAAACTTGAGGCTTAGAACATTACTTTGTTCAAGGTCACTTCCATAAGTGTTTCACTATGTTAAAGACCTAGGATCTTGTATGATAAGCATGGGCAGCCACAGTAGTGTAGTTATGCATTTTAAATAGATTATCCTGATGGCAATAAAGAGGGTAGATTTAAGAATTGTAATTGTAATAGTACAAGTACACAAACTAAAACCAAATTAAACTGATCATAGAAAAGACAGAGAAAACACAGCTTAGAAATATTTTCCCATAACTGTGAGAAACATTTGAAGGAAAATCACCCGAGCATGATTTTGTATTAAGGTTGGGGTTGCAGAGTAACCAGGAGAGAAGAATCTGACTCTAGGTTTCTGATTTTGGTGTTTTTATTAAACATCATATGGAAAAAAAGAGGAAGAGATGAAATCCATGTGTAAATTTATATATATGAAGCTGTCCATTCTGGTTTAGGGAAAAAGTTAGAGCAGGACCTAAATACTGGATTTTTATATGAGTCACTGATTAATTTCATTCTGTTCAATCGTTAGAGCTGAAGACATGTAAAGAATGTATGAGGGAAAGGGATAGAATGGTAAGCTGAGAAAAGTCTGGAGCAGATGGAGCAAAAGGATTCAGTGAAAATATTTTAGGGTGTCTTAATTTATTTTTTGACCCTGTCCAATGTTTCACATCACACACCTACACAGCAGTGAACTATGTGAATGAATAAATATGTGTCATGAAAATTTTAACTGGTTTTGCTATACATAAATACTTGTATTTATTCATTATCAATGGTTAAAAGTTGAAGGAAAAAATGGCAAATTGAATTTATAGTTTTGAATGTCAATTGAAAGTATCAGTACGAATTGATAGCAGTAAATCTACAAGAATGAATATCCTTAGCATGAGACTGGCTTCTGAATTCTATTTCCCATTAAAAGGAATCAGGGATCCTTAGAGAAATAGCTATTCCACATTTGGGACCATAAACGTTCACCTGGAACATCTAACCAGATAGCAAGGAAGCTACTAAAGTTTACAAGGTGCTTCATTTTATTTTATGGCTGAATAATACAGTATTACAATAAATGGATATGTCAAACTTTGATTATCTATTGGTCAGCTGATGGACAATGGGGTTGTTCCCAAGTTCTAGTTATTATAAATAATGCTGCTATAAGTTAACTGGAGGAGGATCACATTGTCAACAAATGGGACAATAAACTATGTTTAAACTCATAAGCATATGACACAAAAAACAAAGTTAATTTATCTCCTTTACAAGATGCCATTAAACCAAAGAGTTATTTTGAAAACTGATTTTAAAAGGGAGGATAGAAAAAAGCATTTATCCTGTCTTTCCAATACAAATGGTATTTTTGAGCAAACAGAATATAAAAGAGGCTTCTCATTACAAAAAATGCTTTGGTTAATAAGGAAAGAATATTAGAAGAACACCATTTTCTGAACTCTTCCCTCCCATACGAGACATTGAGTCATTGCTCATCAGTGATTTGTATCTTTGCAAAAAACAATTATGAATGATAAAAAAAAAAAAAAAAGAATGGGCAAAATCCAATCCAGTCCTCTACTGCCAATTCAACAGGAACATGTTGAGTGACACACTGGGATGGAAACGGCAAAATCAAGACTGTGAGAAACTTTATGAAACAAAAGACTCAAATTTTTCAACTAATAAACTGAAATGATAACACAAACACAGATATAAAGAAAACCAAAATAAGAAATTTACAGGGGCTGGGGTTGTGGCTCAGTAGTGAGCACTCATCTAGAGCTTGCAAGGCCCTGGGTTCGATCCTCAGCACCACATAAAAATGAATAAATTAAACAAAGGTATTGTGTCCAACTACAACTAAAAAATAAATATTAAAAAAAAAAAAAGAAATTTACAGATGAAGAGACTTAAAGATTTTAGCAGGGTGCCATGGTGCATGTCTGTAATCCCAGTGGCTTGGGAGACTGAGGAAGAAGGATCCCAAGTTCAAAACCAGTCTCAGCAATTTGTTAAGCTCTGAGCAACTTAGTGAGACCCTGTCTTTAAAAAAAAAAAAAAAAAAAGAGAAGGGGTGTGCTAGGGATGTGGCTCACTTGTTAAGTACCCCTGACTCCTGGTACAAAAAAGAAAAAAAAAAGTTTTAAAAACCAACCACAATATGTTTTATTTTGGAAAAAAATCAATGTACAGGGGTTGGGGTAGAGCACTGCCTCCCATGTGCAAAGCCCTGGGTTCAATCCTTAGCACCACACAAAATTAAATAAATAAAATAAAATTATTGTGTCTAACTACAACTACAAAAAACAAATATAAAAAAATCAATGTACAAAAATTTGAGGTAATTAAAAATGCTTTTAACTATCTGATATCAACAATTGACTTTTAATGTTACAATAACATGACAATATATAACTTTATTAAAATTCCAAGATTCTTACACAAATATGTGCAACTATTACTACAGTCATTTTTAAAACAATTTTATTGCCTCGAAAAGAAATCCTATATACTTTAGCTCTCACATTCTCAACCTACCCTCCAGCTTCTTATGAGCTCTAAGCAATTACTTACCTACTGTGTCCCCCAAATTTCCCTATTCAAGACAGATTTAAGAACAGAATCACATAAAAAGCAAACTTTTTGTGTTTGCTTTACTTACTCAGCGTAACATAGTACTATGTATCAGTACTTCTCTTTATTTTATGGCTGAATAATATAGCTGGTGGACACTAGGTTGTCCCAACTTTTGGTTATTATGTTGCCATAAACAATCATTCACTTTTTGGTGTGAATGTATTTTTTCACTTTTCTTAGGTATACATGTAGGAGCAGAAATGTTCAGTTATTAACTGCTTGTTTGGTAACTGCCAGAATGTTTTCCAAAGATACTACACCTTTGTATTGCTACCAACAGTGTATAAAGGTTCTCATTTCTCCACATCCTTGTCAACTCATGTTTTTTTCTGAGTGTTTTTCCCCCATATTAGCCGTTCTGGTGCATAGGAAGTGGTATCTCATTCTGTTTTTGATTTGCATTTCCTTGATAATAGGGTTGAGCAATGTTCCATGTGCTCATTGAGATGCTGTGCTCATTTGATTGGATTGTCTTTCTGTTACTGAGTTGTAAGAATTATTTATATATTCTGGATAAATTTGCTTACCAGATAGATGGTTTGCAAATGAATAAATTAAACAAAGGTATTGTGTCCAACTACAACTAAAAAATATTAAAAAAAAAAAAAAAGAAATTTACAGATGAAGAGACTTAAAGATTTTAGCAGGGTGCCATGGTGCATGTCTGTAATCCCAGTGGCTTGGGAGACTGAGGAAGAAGGATCCCATTCTGTGGGTTGTCTACCAATTTTCCCCCCCAAGATTTTAAATTTTTATTTATTTTTTGGTGCTGAGGATTGAATCTAGGGCACTGTGCATGCCAAACCCAAGTTTTTTTTTAAATTCTGAAGTCCAGTATCTTTTTCTTTTGCTGCTCATGTTTTTGTTGTCATATCTATAAATCCGCTGCCAAATACAATGCCATGAGGATTTATACTTAAAACTCCAAGGAGTTTTATGGTTTTAGCTCTTACATTTGGATCTTAAATCCATTTTGAGTTATTTTTTGTATACTGTTTTAAGTGTCTAACCTCAATCTTTTACATAAAGTATCCAGTTGTGCCGGAAGCAGGCTATATTTTCTCGATTGAAAGAACCTGTCATTCTGGTTGAAAATCATTTGAGCATAAATGAATGAGTTTATATATCTGGACTCTGAGGTCTATTCCACTGACCTATATGTGTCTAACTTTGTGCCAGTATCACAATGCCTTCATTATTATTGTGTGAAGTTTTAAAATCAGGATGTACAATTGTTCTTTTTCAGCACTGTATTGTCTGAGTCCCTTGCACTTCCACATGAATTTCAGAAACAGGGGTGTTTTTTCATTTATTTAGATTGTCTATAATGTCTTTTGGCAATGTTTTATAGTTTTCAGAATGTTTCACACTTTTTAAAAAATACTTGGGAACAAATTTAACAAATATTTATTTTTTTAGTTATAGGTGGACACAGTGTCTTTATTTTACTTTATGTGGTGCTGAGGGTCGAACCCAGTGCCTCACGCATGCTATGTGTGTGTGTGCTCTACCTCTGAGCCACAACCCCAGCCCCCAAGTATTTTATTATTTTGATATGATTGTGAATGAAATTGTTTTCTGATTTCATTTTGGATGGCTCATTGCAAATGTATAAAAAAGACAACTAATTTTGTATCCTGCAACCTTTCTGAACTCATTAGTTCTAACAGGTTTCTAATGGATTCCTTAGAATTTCCTATATATAAGACCATGTCATCTACCAATAATTTTATTTATTCCTTCCCAATCTGAGTGCCTTTTATTCCTTCATCTTGCCCAATCTCTCTGGCTAGAATTTCCAGTGCAGTGTTAAATAGAAGTGGTGAGACTGCACTGGGCATTCTTATCTTGTTTCTGATTTTGAGGAGAGTAGCCAGTCTTTTACCATTAATTAAGACATTAGCTTTTGATGTCCATTTTCAGGTTGAGGAAAGTTTCTTTTTATTCCTGGTTTGCTGTATGTTTTCATGAAAGGGTACTCAATTATGCCAAATCTTTTTCTGTATTTATTGATGATGATCACATGGATTAAAAATATTGTATTGATACAACATATTATAAGTGAACAGCATAAATGATGGTGTTCTATAGTTTTCTTGTGATATCTTTAGTTACCTTATCAGAGTAATATTAGCCCCATAAAATGAGATGTGTTTTCTATATTTTAAAAGAGCTTGTGAAGAATTGGTATTAGTTTTTTAAATGTTTGGTAGAATTCATAGTAAAGCCATCTGAGCCGGAGCTTTTATTTGTGGAGATATATATATATATATATATTTTTTTGACTACTGATTCATTCTCTTTACTTGACATATTATTCAGATTGTTCACTTCTTGAGTTTTTTCTTAGGATCTCTACTCATCTGTGTTGCCCAATTTGTTGGCATACAATTGCTCTTAGTATTTATTTGTTATTTTTAGGATTTCCTTCTTTCAGGTTTAGTTTTTTCTCTTTTTCCAATGTCTTTAGAAGGTGAGGTTATTCATTAGTAATATTTTTTTCTGCCTTAATGTAGGCATGAAAAGCTACAAATTGCTCTGTAATCATGCTATAGCCACATTCCACAAGTTTTGGTATGTTGAGTCTTCATTTTTACTTCCCTGTGAATATTTTGATTTTTTGTTTCGTTTATTATTTAGGAATGTGTTATTCAATTTCCACATATTTTTGAATTTCTTAAACTTTCCTGCTATTGATTTCTAATTTTCTTCCAATGATATCAGAACATACTCTGCATTCTTTCAACCTATTAAAATCTATTGACTTTGTTTTATGGCCTAGCATATGGTCTACACTGAAGAATGGTCCATATACTTTCCTTCAGAGGAAAGTATAATCTGTTTTTGTGTGATGTTCTATAGATGCCTGTTAGATATAGATGGTTTATATTTCCTTGCTTATCATCTAATTGTTTTATACATTACTAGAAGTAGTATATTGAAGTTTTCAAACATTAATGTTGAACTGTCATGTATTTTTTATTATTTTGCTTATTAAATTTGCAAAATAAAAATTATTTTGCTTATTTGGTATTTTGTTTCTAAAGTATATATATATGCTTACAATCGGTTACCTTTCTGATGTAATGACTTTTATCATTATAAAAAGTCTCTAACATCTCTGGTTATATAGCATATTTGTTGACTATTAGTATAATTACAATAGTTTTCTTGTTTCTATTTACATGATATATCTATTTTCATCATGTTACTTTCCATTTATTTCTTTGAATCTCCTGCATATAGCTAGATAATATTAACCACATTTGACAACTACTTTCTGTTTAATCCATTCACATTTTTATTATTAGTATGGATTTATGCTTGCCATTCTACTTTGCTTCCGTCTTATGCCTTTTTTTGTTCCTCTTCTTCCTTTCCGTCCTTGGTGCTGGGGATTAAACCCAGGGCCTCACATATGCTCAGTAAGTGCTCTATAAACAGAGCTATAACTCATCCCCCCAACCCTGTATTTTATTTTATTTTTTTTTTTAAAATTTTTTTATTGTTGGCTGTTCAAAACATTACATAGTTCTTGATATATCATATTTCACAATTTGATTCAAGTGGGTTATGAGCTCCCATTTTTACCCCATATACAGATTGCAGAATCACATCAGTTACACATCCATTGATTTACATATTGCCATACTAGTGTCTGTTGTATTCTGCTGCCTTTCCTATCCTCTACTATCCCCCCTCCCCTCCCCTCCCCTCCCCTCCCCTCTTCTCTCTCTGCTCCCTCTACTGACATTCGTTTGTCCCCCTTATATTATTTTTCCCCTTCCCCTCACTTCCTCTTGTATGTACTTTTGTATAACTCTGAGCCAACCCTGTATTTTAATGGTTTCTTTCACTTTTTCTGAGTTATATTTCTAGTGGTTGCTCTCAGGTTTACCCCATAACCTTTATTTGTCAGAATCAGCTTCAGATTTATATTAGTTTCATTCCAATGATCTGATAAAACATTATTCCTATATAGCTTTATTCTCTTCCCTACTGTATCTATTAATATTTCAAACACAACACCTTGATGTAATTACAACTTCCCATCTGTAGTCATATTTCCTTAGCCCAATAATACAGCTTTATTTCCAATCATTTTTTCTTTGTCCTGTTATCAGCAAATATATTATACACTTATTGCAGTTTGTGTTATACATCAACATTACACTATACATACATATGTATATATAATAACTGCTTTTAAAATCAGCTATGACAAGAAGGAAAATATTCACTAATTGCTGTTTATAATTACATAATTACCTCTGCTGGTATGCTTTGTATGGGTGTAATTAACACTGAGGGTCATTTGCTTTCAGCTTGAAGAAATCCCTTTAGTATTTCCTGCAAGGTAGGTCTGCTAGCAACAAATTCTTTGAATGTTTTATTTGGGAAAGTCCTTATTTTGCCTTCATTTAAAAATGATGAAAGATATAGGATTCTTGGTTGTCAGTACCACACCCACCCTTTGGTGGTAGTGAGGATGAATTCAGGACTCTACCACTGAGCTAAAGCCATGGCTTTTTTAAAATTTTGAAACAGGGTCTTGTTAAGTTGCCTAGGCTGGCTTTGAACTTCTGATTCTCCTGCCTCAGTCTCCAGAAGAACTGGATTAGACAAGTGCCTACTGACAGTTTTTGTCTTTGAGCACTTTGAATGTTTATCCCACTAACTTTTGAACATCATTATTTCTGGTAAGGAACTATTAATCTTACCGTGGGGTAACATTCTGAGGGTTACTGTCTCTTGCTACTTTTCAAGATTTTCTCCTTGTCTTTGACTTCATCATTTTTACCATGTGTCTCTGACCATCTCTTTGTGTTTTTCTTACTTAGGAGTACACAGAGCTTCCTGAATGTGTAAATGAGTTTTTCCAGAAATATAGGAAATTTTCTGCCATTGTTTCTTTGTCCCCCCATCCCATTGCCATCTCTTCTCATTTTTCTCTCCCCTTTGGTACTAGCAGTGGTGCACTGGATTGTGTCCCACATTTTTCTAAGGCTGTGTTTATTTACCTTTGTTCTTTGGTTTGCTTTATCTTTATCGATAATCAAACTCATTAAATCTTTCTTCTGCCAGTTCAAATGTGTTGAACTGCCAGTAAATTTGAAATTCATTATTTTTCAACTCCAGAAATTCTATTTGTTTTTGATAATTTGTTTGCTTACTGATATTCTCCATTTGTGAAAATTATTTACCTTCTTTAATTATGCTTTTTCTGTAGTTCTATGAAGCATACTTATAATGACAATTCCAAATTTTTTTCAGTTAAATCTGACATCTGATCTCTATCTCACAGGCAGTTTATGTTTCTTGCATCTTTCCCCTAGTATTTGGGCTATACTTTCTTGTTTCTGTACAAGCCTCAATTTTTTGTTGAAAACTGAACATTTTAGTTAAAACTGAATATTTTAGTCAATTCTGGTTACTATTCCTTTCCCCTCCTCTTCTTTCCCAGTGCTTGTTACTGTTCTTTGCTTGTTTCTTTTTTTTTAATGACTAGCTGGATGATTTTAGTGAAGTCCTTTTTCCCACTTCCCTAAAACCCACAATGCTAAGCTTCTGATGTTGCTCCTCAGGGAGGTGTTTCTTTGGGTATGTCACAGTCACTCTGGATTTACAGTGATAAATCTAGGACTACCTTTTCTCTTTTTTTATCACATCTAGGTATTAAACTCCACTAATTGCTCTACTGTTTCAAACAATGTGTGTGTTTGTAGGGGGAGAGGGGAGACCCCATAATCTGCTTTACAAATTAATCCAATCACTTTACAAATTAATCCAATCACATCCTGCTCCTTTAAAGGAATACTTTTTGACGTCTGTTTGACATTTGCTCTGGCCACACAACAGGGTTCTTGCCACTTCTTCCCTGGCCTCTCCTAATGACCAGCTGGCATATACTCTAGGCTATACATTCATTAAATCCATTAAACCTCTTCCACAATTACCACTGTTCTTGAGATGGATCTTCATTTTTAAGTTCTACATATTATGTTGCCAATTAAGTCAGTTGCTTTGAAAAGACAATAGAAGCTATTTGCTTTATGGTCTATCTTCCTCCCCACAGGCAAAATTTCTGATCCAGGGTTCAGAAACTAGAGGTGAAGGAAGATAATGGCAAGGTTTTCTCTGAATAAGATCTCTACCGTAGAAGCTGAGTACTACTCGTGATTCAAATGAACAATCTCAAGTTTCTGCTTTAAGAAGCCAGGAAAGAAGAAAATAAAACCAAAGCAAGCATAAGGAAGGAATTACTAAAGAGTAGAGACTGACAAAATAGACAAAAACAGTGAAAACCAAAAAAATGCAAAATGTTTGTTCTTTAAAAATATCAGTAATATTGAAAAAAGATCTAGCAAGAATGACAAAGAAAAGCCAGACATAGTGGCACATACCTGTTATTCCGCTTACTAGAGAAGCTAAGGTAGAGGATTGCAAGTTTGAAGCCAGACCGGGCAATTTGGCAAGACTTTATCTCAAAATAAAATAAACAGGGCTGAGGATGTAGTTCAGAGGGCCTGTATAGCTATGTGAGGTTCTGGGTCCATCCCCAGTACTGAAAGATAAAAAAAAAAAAAAAAAAAAAAAAGAGAAAAAATCAAATTACTATGAAAGGAAAAAGGCAATATTATGAATATGTAGATGCTACAACCAGAATAAAACGGGCAAATAACTATTACAGAAATTGGATTCATAATGAAATCCTTCTAACCAAGAATTTCTAGGCTCAGATGGTTCCAACAGAGAATTTTACCAAACAGTTAAAGAAGAAATAATACCAATTACATACAACCTATTCTGGTCCTCACTGGGGCAAAAAAGCAAGAAAAAGATATAAAAGATATATAGATTTGAAAAGAAAAAAAATGAAATGGTCTTTACTCATTACACATGGTAAGTAACATCCAAAAAATCTTTAAAGAACAGAACTAAGTTACCAGATACAAGGTCAATATAAAAAAGTCAACTATAATTGGGAATGGGGGACGGGGTGGCACTAGGGATTGAACTCAGGACCTTGCAAGCATTCTCACTGAGCTACATCTCCAGCCCTCCTTCCCCTTTTTAAAATTTTATTAGATTGGCTCTCTGAGTTTTCTAGGGGGGCCTCAAATTTACAATTCTCCTGCTTCAGCCACCTGATTACATGGTATTACAACTGTGCACCACTGCACCTGGCTCAACTGTATTTTTATATAGTAGCATTTAACAAAAGGTAACCTAAACTTTATAAAACAAAAACTAGTATCATGATTAAAACAGCTCCAGAAAAAAACAAGTATAAATCTAACAAAACACACATAGAACTTACATGCTAAAATATAAAACATGGATAAAAGAAATTAAGGAAGACCTACCTAAAAGGGAACCATTATATTCATGAATTGGAAAACTCAACATAGTAAAAGATGTCAAATTTGCTCAAATTTATCTACAGATTTAACATAATTACAATTAGAATTACAGCAGGACTTTTTTTGTAGCTATAGATGAGCTGATTCTAAAATTTACACAGAAAAGCAAAGACATTAGAATTGACAAAACAATTCTGAAGAAAGTTAGAGGAATCACATTAAAGAATTAATATAATTACTATACAGGAATCCAGACAGTGGTACTAGCAAAAGTACAGAGAGATAAATGAACAAGAGTCTAGAAATATACCCACACAAATACGGTTGACTGATTTTTGGTAAAGGAATTTTTGGTAAGCAATTCAATGGAAAAACAGTTATTTCAATTAGTTGTTGTAACAACTGGACATTCATATGCAAAAATAAAAAACAAACAAAAAATCCACAAAACAAACAAAATCCTTGATGGAAATCTCATACCTTATTCCAAGTTACAAGCTAAAGTATAAAACACAATAAGGGAGAAAATCTTTGTCTTAGGGTTACAGGTTTGGAACTATTAGCCATTAAACCAAAAGCACAAAAGCAAAAAGATAAAACTATATTCCATCAAAATTGCTATGTGAAAATCAAAGTTGCTGTGTGAAGAACATTATATTAAGAGAGCAAAGACAAGCTAAAGCCTGTGAGAAATTATTTGCAAATCACTCACCTGTCAAAGAACATGTATCAAGAATACAGGGTATAAAGAATTCTTAAAAATGAACCGATACAAAAACAACTCACCCAATTAGAGGTTAAATGGGAAAGCAGAGACTAGTTGTACTCATGCCTAGCTGTAATGAGGTACACCTATCCTGCTGATGTATATTAGAGAAGACTTGGGGGGAGCTGTGTTTATCCCTGCCCAGTCATAAGAAGGACCCTGAGACAAGTGAAGACTTGTGGGAAATGGTAAAACAAGGTGTTTCTACCTTTTGGGCCAGGGAGGTTCAGCAGAGGTCAAGTGGGGAACATAACCTCCTGACCCAACCCAGCAGTAACCAGGCACCCCCTTCACCTCGCTGCCAGTGTCAACAAATGCCATGTAAGGAACCTGGACTTTTACCCTGACTTGGCAGTAAAGAGACAGTGCCTCCCTTAATGGCATGGTGTCAGAGGATGCTGCTAAAAGATCTAGAGTCCCATAACCTAAACCCCAAAATGTCCAGGATAAAATTTTAAAAATCACTCTTCATACAAGAACCAAAAAAATTTGAACCTGAATAAGAAAAGACAATGTACAGATGATAACACTGAGATGACACAGATACCTCCATTATTTGGCAAAGATTTAAAAGCAGCCATCATAAAAATGCTTTAAGGAGCAATTATTAACATAACCAAAACATATTAAACAATAAAGAACAACAATGAAATACAGTAATTGCAATGAGCTATCACTTCATACCCACTGGGATAGTTAGGTGAAGCTAGAGAAACTGGAAGCTCATACAAGGCTGATGGGAATGTAAAGTGGTATAGCCATTTGGGAAAACAGCCTTGGAAGTTGCTCAGAGGTTATACATACAGTGACCTCACGGCCCACTGAGCAACTATTCCTAGATGTATGTCCAAAATAAGTGAAAATGTGTTCACATAGAAACATGCACATAAGTGTTCACAGCAGCACTGAAGAATGGACAAATAAAATGTGACTTTATCCAAACAATGAAGTATTATTTGGCAATAATAAAAATGAAGTAATGATATAAGCTACAACATGAATGAATCTAAAAATTATGATAACTGAAAAAGACAGTAATCAAGGAACATATGTTGTACAACTCCATTTATATGAATGCCCAGAATACAAAAGAGACAAAATACAGGGTAAAAAAAATTAGTGGTTGGCTAGAATTGGAGGGATGGAGGTATTAGAATATGATAGCTAAAGGGGGAGTCCACGGATTATTTTGGACTAATGAAAATGTTCAAAATTGACTGTAGTGATGGATGTACAACCCAATGAATATATTAAAAGTCACTGAATTGCACACTTTAAATGGGTGAATTTTATGTAAGCTTATATTAAAGTAAAAAAAAAATGTAACTGAAAATAAACCCAATAAATTCAACAGGCCAATGGAGAGGACAGGGGAAAAAAATCAGTGAACTTCAGAATAGCACAATAGAAACCATCAAATTTGAACAAGAAAGAAAACAGACTGAAAAAAGATGAAAAGAGCCTTGAGGGCCTGTGTTACACAGTATAAAAAAGAGAACTAACTTCCATATCCTTCCTAAAGGAGAGAGGGTGAGGCAGAAAAAGTCTCCCCAAAATATAATGACTGAAAACTTCTGAATTCTTGCAAAGAACATAAACCTTGAGATTCAAATGGCTCAGTGAAGCAAAACTGGATTAAAGAAGAAAAAATTCAGGCTGGGGTTGTGGCTCAGAGATAGAGCTCTCACCTAGTGTGCCTGACTGGGTTCAATTCTTAGCACCACATAAAAATAAAATAAATATATTGTGTCCATCTGTAATTAAAAAATAAATATTAAAAAATAAAAAAATTCATGCCCAAACACATCATATTCAAAGGTAACTATAGATGGCAGAAATAAGTGACACAATGTCTTCTTAAGTTCTTCAAGAAAAGACATGTTAACCCAGAATTCTATATCCAGCAAAATATTCATCACGAATAAAGAGAATATTAAGACATCTTCAGACAAAAAAAAAAAAAAAAGGAAAATTTGCTGGGCATGATGGTGGACCCCTTTAATCCCAGTGGTTTGGGAAGCTGACACAGGAGGATTGCACAGGTTCAAAGCTAGCCCCAGCAACTCAGCAAGGCCCTGGGTAATTTAGTGAGACCCTGTCTCAAAATAAAATATAAAAAAGGGGCTGGGGATGTAGGAGTGGTTAAGCACAACCGGGGTTCAATCCCTGGTACCAAAAAAAGAACAAACAAACAAACAAACAAACAAACAAAAACTGGAAAATTTGTTGAAAACAGGCTTTACCCTAAAAGAAGGGTTAAATAAGTTACTGAAATGGAAGGAAAAACAATGGAAAGAATAAAAAAAAAACAAGTGACAGTCTTCCATCTTGAGTTTCCTAACTTACTTTTGACATAATTAAAGCAAAAATTCTCATTTTTCACATGATTCTCAAAGTATATACAGAAATATTTCAGACAATCATAAACAAGGGAAGTGGTAAAGAAATTTGAAAGGGAGGAAAGATTTCTATTCCAAAAACTTAAAATGTTTTAGACTGTGACAAGTTACTTCAGAATAAATGAATACCTAGAGCAAATTCAGAATAACCTATACAAAAATTTACACTCAAAACACTATGGATAAATACAAAATTTAAAAAAAGGTACAAGTAACACAAAAGGAAGAAAAAATACAGAAAGAACAGAGGGAACAAACAGATCACGGCAGACCAAAATCTTCACGTATCAATGACACTAAATCTAAGTAGTCCAGGTAAAAGACAGACTGGCCAAAAGAGTCTATAGAGGCACACTATGGTTTCTTCCACAGATTTTAAATTCCCTACTTAATTAATGAAAACAAGGTTTATTTGCAAATTTGAAGAATCTCTAGGTAGAGAAATTTTGGGAAAGCCATATAGTCCCTTTGCCTTCTAACATTTAAATCATTAGAATGAAGTTATCCCAAACAAAATTCTGGCATTTCACCACATTTTCAACTACTTTATGTTTATTTGTAAACATAAATCAATGATATGCTATCCATAAAAAACTTACTTAAACATGATAGAGATAGACTGAAAGTAAAAGGGGTTTGAGGTTGTCGCTCAGCAGTAGAGTGCTCACCTAGCACCTGTGAGGCACTGGGTTTGATCCTCAGCACCACATAAAAATAAATAATATAAAAGTATTGTGTCCAACTACAACTAAAAAAAAAAAAAATTAGTGCTCGCTTCGGCAGCACATATACTAAAATTGGAACGATACAGAGAAGATTAACGTGGCCCCTGCGCAAGGATGACACGCAAATTCGTGAAGTGTTCCATATTTTTAAAAGCAAGGAAGAAAAGGAGAACAAACAATGCAGGACAGCCTAATTATTCAGGAGAACCTAGAGGCATCAGAAAAATGGCCAAATAAAGAACTCAAGGAATACCTTAGACAGATGGAATGGAACCTTAAAGAGGATATGAAACAGCAAATTCAAACAATGA